TAAAAGTAAGATTTTAACTGTCATAAGCTAAGGATACTATTGACACCGATTGCCCTTGCATCACTTTTCCCTTGAGGAGTTGTGTGGGGATGGAGAGACCATCAGCATTTTGGGGAATCCAGCTAAGGAGAAGTTGAGTTGGAGATTTATTTGTTTTGGGTCGAGTGGAATCTATATATATGGTTCACACGTCCATGTAGAGTCAAGACATTGTTGGTTATTCTAGGGTATTCTAGGCTTCCAGGAACCCTCTTGCTCAGTGCATGCTCAGTGGCATCATGGGTCTTTTATGATTTAAATATTTCTTATGATGCCTGACACTAGAAGCATGTGGGAGTGAAGAAGCAAGAGTTGAAATGTGCAGAATGAGAAGCTAGTCTGTGGAATGTTCTTTCAATCATCAGCTGTACACAATTATGAGTGAAATGTTTGGTTCTCATAGATATCTAGTCAAGACAGAAATTATCTTCAGGAAAATACTCAGAAATGTGGTATATACAATTATAAAGTGCCATACTATCATACTTTTAAAGTAGGAATCAATGCAAAATAGAATTGATTAGAATTCTCGTGTTTGTAGAGCACAAAGCTGTAGCAATACTATAAACTGTGAAGTATCATTTTTATGTATGCCAAACTGCATTTTATGTCTACCAACATATTGAATCAGTCTTAGCATATCTGATATAACTTGTCCTGATGAAACCTGGCAACACCAGACAAAAAGACATTCAAATGCACTAAAATCGCAGCAAAGCACCCTAAGTGTTCCTGTCACAAAGCTCCCAAGCTTATTCATCCATAAGTTATTGTACACAGCATAGGGGGAATTCAATTAAACAATTATGTAGCTCTATCCAATATAATGGCATTTTAAAATGCATTTGAATTGCTTTGTCTTCTTTCCTTGAAAATGATATTACACAGTTGTTATGTGAAGAGATGATCATGTGAAAAGTATGCAGCCAAAGAATAGGAAAAAATATTGTAGAGGTTATGTCACTTTTCAGGATTTTGTTGTATTTGTGGTATTTATCACTTTTCAAAAATGTGTGGCAGGGCACGGTGGCTCACACCTGTAATCTCAGCCCTTATGGAGGCGGAGGTGGGTGTATCGCTTCAGCTCAGGAGTTTGAGACCAGCCTGGGCAACATGGCAAAACCCTGCCTCTACAAAAAATACAAAAATCAGCCAGTTGCAGTAGTGGGCACCTGTCGTCCCAGCTACTTGGGAGGCTAAGGTGGGAAGATCACTTGAGCCTGGGAAGTGGAGGTTGCAGTGAGCCATGATAGTGCCACTGTGCTCCAGCCTGGGTGACAGAGTGAGATCCTTTCTCAAAAAAAAAAAAAAAAAAAAAAGGAGCAAAAATGTGTAATTTGATATGATTTCATATATCAATATAAATAAACTTTCACTCTTTTTTTGAGATAGGGTCTCCCCTTGTAGCCCAGGCTGGAAAGCAGTGTTGCGATCATAGCCCACTGTAGCCTCCAACACCTGGGCTCAAGTGATCCTCCCATCTCAGCCTCCCAGCTAGCTAGACTATCCCACACCCAGCTAATTTTTCTAACTTTTTTGTAGAGATGGGGTATCACTATGTTGCACGGCTGGTCTTAAACTCCTGAGCTCAAGTAAGCCTCCTGAATCGGCCTCCCAAAGTGCTGGGATTACAGGTGTGAACCACTGCACCTGGCCATAAATATTTGCTTTTATATGTAATTTTGTACTTCTATTTTGAATTCTTATCCTTAGAGTCTCCTTCCTCCATAAACAACCTTCAAAACCCACCATTCCTGAATTAGCCTTTGACCACAGTTGTGTAGTATTTTATGCTCTGATATTATTCTTATGAAAAATATTGAATTTTAAAGCATGATAGTTTATGCCTGGGGACAGAATTTTCAACAATACAGAGCTTTGTGTGGAAAGTAAATAGTGTAGTCTCCAAGCACGACTGACTCCCCGGGGGTCACCACTGTTGGTCTGATGTCATTCTATTCTCCTTTTTCTTGAGCCAGTTCATTGTGATTAAGTGTGACTTTGGAGCGAGCTACCTGAGTTGACTTCTGCCTCTGCCCCTGTGGCCTTGGGAAAACTACTAAATCTATTAGTGCCTCCTCTTAAAGGAAGGATGTAATTGTCCTGATGAAAACCTTGTACTGTCTCGTGGGGTTGCTAGGAGGACAGTTTAGGGCTTAGAAGAGCATCCAACTTGCTGTACTCATTTTATGTTAGTTTCATTTGGAAAATGCATACATTAGCATTTCTTTGCGGATACTTCATGTGCCTAAGTATACTGGTCCTCCTCTCTCAAGACTGTAAACTGGAGGTTTGGAACTAATGGAAAACATCTTGAACATCGCCACCTAATTCCTCAGAAATGTGTGGATGTGAGCGCCATCTAGCTGCATTATCGGTGGTTCTACTATGACCACCAGGCACCATTCAGCTAACGTGGCTGTTCTGGCTCAGCAGTTGTTGGATTTGTCAGGAACTGGAGGATGATAGTGGTGTGACCAGCATATCACGAGGCACTCAGGAGAAGTTAGCGATCCAGTGAAATGAAGAGTATCTCTGAAATGAGATGAGATGGAAGGCCATATCCACGGAACATAGAATAGTTTGAGATTTATACAAAACTGGAAGCAGCACAAAGCAAAAGCCGTCTCCGTGTCCCACTGTAAAGGCACTCAGGGCCAGGCGTGGTGTCTCACGTCTGTAATCCCAGTACTTTGGGAGGCCAAAGCAGGAGGATCACTTGAGGCCAGGAGTTTGAGACCGACCTGACCAACATAGTGAGACCCTGTCTCTACAAAAAAATAGAAAAATTAGCCAGGCACGGTTGGTGTGTGCCTGTAGTCCCAGCTACTTGGGAGGCTGAGGAAAGAGTATCACTTGAGCCCAGGAGTCTGAGGCTTCAGTGAGCTCTGGTTGTACCACTGCATTCCAGCCTGGGTGACAGAGCAAGACCCTGTCTCAAAAAAAAAAAAAAAAAAAAAAAAGAAAAGAAAGAAAAAGAAGAAGAAGAAGAAGAAAAAAAGAGAGAAGAAAAAAAATCACTCAGAAGTGTCACTAAAATGTGGTTTTCAAGAAAGGCATGGTAAAAATGAGAAAAGGGAGTGGGTAGACATGAAACCTTTCCAAGATAACACAGCTCAACAGTTATGTACAGAAGCAGCTAAAACAGAATAAGTGTAGATGATCAAAGATCAAAGGATGAAGAGATTTTAGAAAGAAGGTTGTTTGGTATATACCTTATCATCTTAAAAGACTTTCTCTAGGAAACAAATACTGCTAGATTTCAATCATAGACTGTGTAATGGAGTATACAATAGTTACTCAGTCCTCCCACAAATTCACAATCTGATATTCAGTGAAAAAAGACGATTCCTGATGAATATGAACCCAATTTTGTTTAAAAAACATACGTAAGTACACAAGACTAGAAAAAAGACTGGAAAGAAAAATAGTAAAATATAAACTGTGGCTATTCAGAGGAATGCAATTATGGGGGAAATTTTTGTCACTTGTGCTGTTATGTAGTCCCCCCTTGATTGATTGATTGATTGATTGATTGATTGAGACAGGATCTTGCTCTGTCACCCAGGCTGGAGTGCAGTGGTGCCATCATAGTTCATGATTGATTGATTGATTGAGACAGGATCTTGCTCTGTCACCCAGGCTGGAGTGCAGTGGTGCAATCATTGTTCACTACAAGTTTGAACTCCTGGGAGCAAGCAATCCTCCTGCCTCAGCTTACTAAGCAACTGGGACTATAGGCCTGTGACACCACACTTGGCTAATTTTAAAATTTTTTATAGAGACCAGATCTCGCTCTGTTGCCCAGGCTGGTCTCAATCTCCTGGGCTCAAGTGATCCAACCTCTTGCCTCAGCCTCCCAAAGTGTTGGGATTACAGGTGTGAGCCACCATCCCTGACCAAACCCCTGTTATAATAAATATGCATTACTTCTGTAATTAGAAAAAAAAATGCCTATTTAAAAAGAATTAGATATTCACTTTTAATCAAATGTAGTTCTTATTTCTATAATACTTTTTTTTTTTTCATTATTTGGCCTACGGTTAAATTATAATTACAGAGTTTAAAAATAGCTTGCCTGATAAAGGTATTCATGTGTCCACCAAAACTCAGCATGATGGTCCACACACGCTAGAATCAATTTCCAGTTGCCCGCCTGGCCCTTCAGCCTTGTTAGTAATGGCAAAGTAGCCCAGAGGACAGCAAGAAATAGCATGACATTCCTCCTTCTTGCCACCAACAACATCCCATGTGTCTGCTGGAGAGCAGGACAGCTTTCCACTGGCTGGCTGATGTCACAGTATTTTAGCCACTGAACTTCAGTGAAGGTGTGGTGAGCAGTGGCCTCATCCACCCTGATCTCATACTCCCCCATTGTCCAGCTGAACTACCTGTCCTCTGAGAGTCCAGATCCTCTGCCTGCTCTCTTTCCTGTTTCAAAATGACAGTTACCACCTGTTTCTTCTGTGTGTGACATGGGGGTCTAACTAAAATCTCTCCTTCCTAATAAATGTCACCACTCTGAAAAAAAATTTTTTAAACTTCTATTCACGAGAGGATACCATAAAGAAGATTGAAAGATATTGAAGTTGGAGAAAAATATTTGCACTATACACAACAAAGCCTCCCAAAGTGCTGGGATTACAGGGTGAGCCACCATGCCCAGCTGGTAATTTAAACTCTTAACAGTAGATATTGCAGAGGATGAGAGACAATACCAGGCAGTAATATTTTCTGTTTTATACACTTCTGTGTTATTCAAATTTTTCACAAGTGTGTGCTAGTGTAACCAGGGGAGGAAGAAAACACTTTTACATTGATACATTGAGAAAGAACTCCAGCATTAGGCCCTGCAAAGCATTCCTATCAGCCTCCTTTCCCATCAAAATGTCCATCTAATTACAGCAAATGTCTTTAAGTGCCTTACTGAAGTTGATTTTCCTTTTCCTGGTCTGTTTCAGCTTGGACTGACTTGGATTAGAATCTGGCTTCATCAGTTTCAGTGGCTGGGAGAACCTGAAGATGATGGACTTCTCCCAGCTGTCACTCTCAAGGAGAAACACGATCCTGATTCCTACCTCACAACTGCCAAACACAAGTGTCTGCCACATTCTCTTTCCCTTCATCTCCCTCCTCTCTGGGGTAAAGCAAAGATCCAAGTCCCAGCTCCCATCCTCAAAGCCCTCATAGTCCAGTGTAATGGGCTGACCTGAGCAAGGATGGCGTTTGATGACCTTCATGGGATTTTCGAATGGAGATGGCTTCGAGCCGGGGGTCCTGGTGGTGCTGGGAAATTGCTGAAGAGTACTCAGTGGAGGCGCATGGGGTGGTGAGTTCTGAGAGGGGTGGTGTGTCTAGATAGGTGGGACCATGGTAAGGCCAAGGCAAGCAGGGACGTGGTTGTGACCGGTTTTGCCACCCCTCACCTATGCCGCGGGCCTCAGGGGCTCCCTGCTTGGCCTGGACCTTGGTCTCATCTCAGGGGATGGGGAATCAGCAAAGGCTGTCCTCGCTGTCCTCACCACCCGCGAAGGCATGTAATTATCATGTTTTCCTTTCCCATTGATTCCTTTTTGTCGTGACTTTCTGTACCTAACTCAGGTACCTTAGTTTGTGTTTTTCAAGCTGATTGTTGGTTAATTTATTCAGTTGGTGTTTCTTAGAAAAGGCCTATTGGAGACTTATAAAAACCAGCACGCCTCTAAAATAACAAATGAACTTCTAGTCAATGCCTAACGACCTCCAGTGCGTGTTCCTAACACTGGGTCTTGGACAAACCAGGTAACTGCTCTGCGTCTCGTTTCCTCCTGTCTGATGATAGTGACGGTGACAGTGGTTGTCTCAACCAAGCTCCCTACAGACAGAGCCTGAGATGGGAATTGAGTGAGGTGCCCTCAGGGGTCGGGAAGTGAGGCAGCAGGACAGGGAAGGGCGAAGGGATGCTGGGTTGGAGACTAGCTTCAGCCTGCTGCAACGAGGGCCTTGGGAACACAACTCGCCCTAAGAAGTTGGTGCTACTTTAAGGCAGCCTTTTGTACTCCAGGTCATCAAGTCCATACAGGGGGCCAGTCTTTTGTACCCCAGGTCATCAATTTGATGCAGGGAGGGCAGCCTTTTGTACCATGGGTCATCAGGCATTGACCATGAGCTGCATAGAGTAACCCTTTAGGTGAGGCTGCTTCCTTTGACTGAGAGTAATTCTCCAAAGAAAGGGTGCAGGGAGAGCCATCAGCAGCCAACCCTCACAGCAGTGGGGATGGGGACAGAGGTGGGGTGAGTCAGATGTATCTCTGGACATGTGCACACTGGGTAATAGACGCTGACATTTACTGAGTGCTTACTATTTGACAGGTACTTGTCTAAGTAGTTTACCTACACTAACAGTTTATGCTCATGCCACCCTATATAGTAGATATATCCTTCTACTATTAGCTGCATTTTACAGGTGAAGAAATGGAGGCACACAGAGGTTAAGTAACTTGCCCAAGGCCACACAGCAAGTGAAGGGGAGAACCAGGTTGGGAAAAGTGATCTCTAAGTAACTTTTGTTAGGAATTTCAGACTGGTGTCATTTATTTAGTCAGTTATCAATTCATTCCACATTTATTGAGAGCCTCTCATGTCCTAGAAATGACACAGATAAATCAAGCATGTCTCCAGCCTTCCAGGAGCTCAAACTCTACTGGGAGAAGCACTGTGTGCACTGCTTAATACTGGACTGTGTCCTGAGCACTCGGAGAGGGAAGTGCAAAAGTGTGCTACTTCTGCCCTGGGGCATTCGGAGAGATGGCTGGGAGAAGATAAGGCTGCAGTTTGGTCTGGAAGAATATGCAGATATTAAGGGTTAAAGGATGAGAAGGACATTTTTGTCAGAGGGAATGGGGCATGGTGGGACAAGGACACTGAAAGATGGAGGTGTGGGGCAGGGTGGAGGGAATGAGACTGCTTAGAGACAGTCTGGGATGGCTGCAGACTGTGAGAGGCTTGTGGGGTTCGGCCAGTGTAGGGAGACCCAGGTTCTCAGTCAGTCCAAGTTCAGTCTCCACCTGCAACAGACTGGCTCAGTGGAGGTGACAAAGGATGATGGCTGTCTCAGTCCCCCAGCCCCCTCTCAAGTGGAAAAGCACCAGCAGAGCTGCTGCCTGCCTGCCCTCCATTCAGCCTGACTCTGACTCCCTCTGAGCCACAGGCAGACTCTGACTCCCTCCTGAGCAAGGCCCCCAGGCAGGGAGGGGTTATATTCTGGAGCATCACAGAGGGACCTCTGCAATTGACTCAATAAGAAAACAGAATTTTAGAATAAAAAAAGGAGAGGTTTTTTTTTGTTTTTTGGTTTTTTTTGACACAAAAACAAGGAGTACAATTCATTGCTCTTATCTTTCTACCCTATCCTGTTAAAATCCAAGTGGGATCCTCTGCAAGTCTAGTGCACACTCCTACCTTTATCAAAACCCACCTTTATGATATCAGTTATCCTGCTGCTAGATAACTGCTGCTGGAGGTGGGAGTGGTCGCTAAACCAGATGAAGTTCCCAGTTCTCTTCCCAGGTGACTGTCTGGGTATAGTCGTGATTCAACTGTTAATGATGTAACCAGAGCCCAGGGGAAACATTGCCAAGAACTAGGACACCTTTTGCAAAAGTTAAAAAAAAAAAAAAAAGAGGGTGAGAGATAAAAGACTACAAATTAGGTACAGTGTGCACTGCTCAGGTGATGGGTGCACCAAAATCTCCTCAGAAATCACCACAAAAAAACTTATCTATGTAACCAAACACTGCCTGTTCCCCAAAAACTGTGGAAATAAAAATTTAAAAAAAGATTTCTTGTAATAGTTTGTCTCCTTAGGATAAATATGTTAGAAGTATAGTAATTAAAAAAGAAAAGAAAAGAAAAGAAATGATAACCAAAAGAAAAAAAAAGGAAAGTTCAAAACAATCAAATTTTCCTAAAATGGCCTAGCATCAGGAGGGATATTCCTCTAACTCACCATTGCATTTCCAGTGCCTTGCAGAATGCCTGGCAAATAGTAGGTGTCTAATAAATATTTGTTTTTTGCTTATTTTGAAAACATGAACTTTTGTTTTTTCCTCTGTCTCTTTCTTTCTGAAGGTTATATGCAGACTTTGGATGAATCCCAGCATCTCAAGATCACTTAAGATTTCAGGTCTAACCTAACCCTAAGTCACACTAGTTCCTATTTCTCAAGTGCCTCTGATGTGCCAGGCACTGTACTAAACATTTTAATAATAATAAAATTATAGCTAACACTCACATAGCTAACTTTTATGTAAAGTACCATTGTAAGTGCTTTGCATATAATGGCGTATTTAATTCTCCACATGAACTCTAGGAAGTAGGTATTACCATCTGTATTTTACCAAAGAGAAATATGAGGCTCTGCAGGTTGTGTGACTTGCCCAGAGTGACTTAACCCAGGACTTTAACCCATCATGCCACAGCTGCAGAGCTGAAGAAAAATGTTCAGGCCTGTCCTGAACCCATCTCAGTCCCTGGAGGCAGAGTCCCAAGGGTTCCTGGAGCATAGCTTTGTACCTGACTTCCTTGCCACCTTCCTGGCTGACATGGATGTAGGAATACTTGGCTATCCTGGTGCCATTGGAATGAATAGTCTGGGCCAGGAAGGCAGAATTGCACCTTTAATCATTTCCTAGGATGTCCTGTCTAAAAGCTTCCAGCCTGTTTGTGTTTCCTTGTGGGGGGTGGCAGCTGAAAAACTTCTCTGGATTTCTGGGAGCAGCTAAGCCTAATGGAAGAGGAGTAGGAGCAAAAGCTGTGTCTCTGAAGCACTTGGCTTGCCTTAGTGCTGTGCCCTTTGTGGTCCCATAGTGGATTCTCTGTAGATTTGAACAACCTTTGGGAGAAGCGAAGGCTTTCTGAGAGGTCAGTGGGCAGCCTGTGCTCAACTGGACTTAATTTCTGGGAGTTTGTTTAAATTATCTCTCTTTTCCTCTCTATATATTCTGATATGTACAGACTCTAAGGATCCAAGCAGGTACCAATATTCCCCCAGCACGGGTAGACACGGAGTTCACGAGAAATGTTTATGGATTGACCCCAGTCTTGTGTTTCCATTGACTGGCTTTCTTTTTACTTTAGGCCATTAAAAATTAGTTTTAACTTTAAACATTTTTTTTTGTTTTTGAGACAGGGTCTCACTCTGTCACCAGGCTGGGGTGCAGTGGAATGATCTCAGCTCACTGCAACCTCCACCTCCTGGGTTCAAGCGATTCTCCTGCCTCAGCCTCCCGAGTAGCTGGGACTACAGGCATGCACCACCATGCCCAGCTAATTTTTGTACTTTTAGTAGAGATAGGGTTTCACCATGTTGGCCAGGATGGTCTCTATCTCTTGACCTCATGATCTGCCTGCCTCGGCCTCCCTAAGTGCTGGGATTACAGTCGTGAGCCATCACACCCAGCCTAAACTTTTCTGTATTTTAGTGTGTGTGTTTTCTTTTTGAGACGGAGTCTCACTTTGTCTCCCAGGCTGGAGTGCAGTGGCACTATCTTGACTCACTGCGACCTCCACCCCCCAGGTTCAAGCAATTCTCCTGCCTCAGCCTCCCAAGTAGCTGGGATTACAGGCATGCACCACCACGCCCAGCTAATTTGTATTTTTAGTAGAGACAGGGTTTCACCATGTTGGCCAGGCTGGTCACAAACTCCTGACCTGAAGTAATCTGCCCATCTTGGCCTCCCAAAGTGCTGGGATTACAGGTGTGAGCCACCACGCCCAGCCTATTTTAGTGTTTTAGCAAACTCTTTTGAACACTATCAAATAAACTACCTATTGGTACTTAACTGTATTTGCATGAAACTTTACAAGGTTCCAGTGAAGCTGATATGGACGTTGGGCATTTGGAGGTCTCTCAATAAACATTTGTCGATTAAATGAATAAGTAGATATTGTAATGAGTTAGCTGAACCATCATGTTGGAGAAGGGGAACATGAGTCAAATATCATTGAATTAAACTATTTTTCTTTCTTTTTTTTTTTTTTTTGGAGACGGATGCTCACTCTGTCACCCAGACTGGAGTGCAATGGCACGCAATTCTCCTGCCTCAGTCTCCCAAGTAGCTGGAATTATAGGCGTGCACCACCACGCCCAGCTAATTTTTGTATTTTTAGTAGAGACAGAGTTTCACCATGTTGGTCAGGCTGGTCTCAAACTCCTGACCTCAGGTGATCTGCCCACCTCAGCCTCCCAAAGTGTTGGGATTATAGGCGTGAGTCACTGCGCCTGGCTAAACTCTTTTTCTTTAATAGTGACAGTTAGAGATTAAATGTTAAAAAAAGGGATGAGTGAAA